CACACACACACACACACACACACACACACACACACACACACACACACGCCTATCCCTGCACTTTCCTATGTTTTCCCCGCACTTACCGGTCCAGATGGACTTGGCATCCCAGACAGACCACATCTGGATGATGAAAAAAGGTGCCCAGCAGACGATGTAAGCTGTCACGATCACAAAAGTCATCTTCACCGTGCGGATCTTGGCGCGGGAAATGGACTTCACGCTGCTGACACAGGGCGCAAGCAGGAACCCCTTTTGGAAGGCACCACCTGCTTGCTCTGCGCCCTTGCTCTGGCGCGACGCGGTCTTCCCGCGGACGTTGCGCCAGATGTTGTAGCAGATGAAGCCGTAGCAGGTACCCAAGATGACCACGGGCGCCACGAAGATGCCGCCCGTCATCCAGGTCACGTAGGCACGGGGACCCCAGGGCTGGATGAAGGTGGCCCAGCAGTCGCGGGCCTTGGTGACATTGTTCACCTCGATCATGGAGAAGACGAAGTACTGTGGCGTGCTCAGCACGAAGCTCAGCACCCAGGCGGCCGCTATCATGAGGCGGGAGCGGCGCGCGGGCTGTTGTAGAGTCTTGAGCGGGTGGCACACGGCGATGTAGCGGTCTGCAGTCATGACGACCAGCATGTAGGCAGACGCAAACATGCCGAACACCTGCAGGTGCTTCACCACGCGGCACAGCCAGTCGGGGCCGCGGAAGCGGTAGGTGATGTCCCAGCACATCTGCGGCAGCACCTGGAAGAAGGCGACGGCCAGGTCGGCCAGGCTGAGGTGTCGGATGAAGAGGTGCATGCGGGACGTCTTGCGTGGCGTCCGGTGCAGCGCCAGCAGCACGCTGCTGTTGCCCAGCACGGCCACCGCGAAGGTCACCGCCAGCACGGCGATCTCCAGTTTGGCTAGCTCCTCGTTGCGCAAGTCCTTTGGCGGGCCGTTACCTTCTCCAGAGGGTTCGGTCTCCTGGCTCGCGTTGGCACCATCGGTGACCAGAGGCCACCACGGGCTGGAGTTGCCCGAGTGGCCCGCCTCTGGGCCGGTGGAGAAACTCATGCTGTCTAGGCAGCGCCTACTCGCCTTCCTCGGAGCCCCAGCTCTCGTGGGTCGCTCCCTCCCCCCCTCTCAGGACTTGGGCTCCCTGCCCCGAGCGCACCGTCCTCGCCTCCTCTGCGCGCTAGCGGCTAGCCGAGCTCTGCGAACCCTCCCGCGGGCGTCTCCCGGAGCTGCGTCCCGCCTGCCTAGCGAGCAACTCTCAGCGGGGTGAGCCGGCCCCTCTCCCCGCTCTGCCTTTTTTCAACTTTAGCGAAGTCGGGAAGGGGCGCTCCGAACTTCTGGAAGCACTGGGTTCCCAGCTCAAGTATTTATGCGGTGCTTGTTTCCTCAGGATTAGCTCCCTCTCGCTCTAGTGGCGGAAGACTGCTGGTTGCCTACTCCCCGCTCCTTGGAGTTTTTATTTTTTTTCCTCTCCCCACGTCGGTGTTTGTCCTCTTTGCATCACTGCTGCGGGGGTGGAGCTGGGAGACTTGCTGATTCCTCCGCACAGTAGGCGGGATCGTGGCGCCTTCCCGCTCTTGACTTCCAAATCTTGGACGTGTCATGCCTTTTCTGGGCTCACGGACGTTTCCTGAAGCTTCCCTCACCAGCCTCCTTAACCATGCATTTGACTTGAACAGGCTAAGCGCAGGGCCTGGAAATCTCCAGTCCACGCACCGGTGCGCGAGCTCTTGCACCTGAACCTGGCACTCGACCTCACCTCCTCCAGTGCGGGTTTCTTCCTCCTCACCGAGCTCATCCTGGTGCAGCTAGTCTGGCAAATTTTATTCCCGAGGCAAATTTTCCCGGGACAAACATTTCTCCCCGCTCGCTCCTCCCCACTCCCCATCTGCAGAGGAAGAGCGGTGCGTCCTAAAGGGCTATCTCTTAGTAGTAAAGTCTTTGATGCATGCTGTTTGTTACCTTGTGTTTGCGACAGGAAGAACACACTCATCACATTGCAGCCCCAGGGGCTGCTGTGCTGGTATTCACAGCGGGCGGGGGGTGGGGAGGAGTGTCTCCTTGGGGCCTAGGGACTTAGGAAGTTTTCTCTAGATTCCTGGCGTTTTCTGCGGGAAAAGCCTGATTCCCATAGCGTGGATAGCGGAAATTTGGCAGTAGTAGTCCCTGGGGACCATCTGGTTACTACTGAGCCGTGGGGACATCTTTTTGGGTGGACAAATAGCAGCTGCCGGACAGGGGTCACCGAAGCAGTGCTGTCCAGGGCGAGGCACAAAAAACCCGCCAGGCTCCTGCGTTCAGGAGTGAGAAAGAGCAAATGTCAAGAGAGAAAAGAGGCCCTCAGAAGGAGGAGAAACCACCACTTACCTACGAATTCCTTACTCTGAACAGCTAGAGCCCCTCTGCAGGGCCGGAGGAAGGCAGAAATCCTATCTCCCTCAGCTCGGTGTTAACTTTGGTGAGACATGCCTCGAAGGACGGCAAGGGGGAGCTGTTTTCAGGCTAGTTTACAAAGAAGGAAGAAAGGAAGCACTTTATGCAGTTATATACTATGCAGAGTCAGGAGCATGACTTTGTTGGTCAGAATGTTTCTGTATTGCCGCGGTGGTGTAAGTTTGATTGTCTCAGAAAAATATCACCCTCTGTGAAATGTAAGCACAAAATGCAAAAGGTTTTATTCGTTGTAAGTTCTCAGTAATAATTTCACTTTACTATCCAGTTCATTCATGCAGAGTTACCAAGGTTGTCACGTTAAGATGCTGGACTTGAAATCTGGAGTCCTGCTTCCTGTGGCTATATAATCCTGGGCCTGTGTGTCTTAAAAATGGTAATGAAAGGACTTGCCTTTCCTGTTTATGAGGTCATTGGGAAGATCAAGTAAGACACTGTTTTGTTTGGGGAAAATGCTCAAAAACTGAAAGCTGTGTTGTGTTGATTCGTTTTCTCTAAGATATCCAGGAGGCAAAAGACTAAAAGTGTTCAAGGATGGTGGATAATATGTAAAAGGTTTCCAGGACACCTGTCTGGAAAAATCCTTCAAGCAATTAGGTAATAGTCACTCACTCAGAGAGGTGACCTTCCTTTAAGTCACAAATTACATTGTTAGTGCTTCTGATGAGAAAGAATGTTAACTGAACTTAGTGTGTAGGTATTGCAAAAGTGATCTGTTGGCCACAGCCTAGTAATTTTGTGACTTGAGCTTTTTGGTTTTTTTCAGGAGAGGAAATCTATAATACAGGTCCACCAAAATTTCTTTGGAGGTTCTTATTCCAGGAGATGGAGTGGTAGCTTCTCAGAAAAATCATCTGTATCAGACAATCTGATCCAATCATGAAACTATATCCAATTTATAAAAATAGCTTCTCAAGTTACATTGGTGGATACACTTGGAAGATATTATTGTTCACTGACAACAGTACCAATTACCCATATATATCAAATGTATATATGATTAATATATAGGTGTATGTGTATATGTATGCATCTGGGCATTCTATCTATCATCTATTATTATCTATTTACCAATCATCCATCTATCATGAGGCCTAGAAAGCAGGAAAAAAGTGTTCACTGCAGATTGTAGAACCAGTCCCTTTTTTAACCCTATTATAGTTTTAAACATGACTCTGACTTAATCTAACTGGTTCTACATGCAAAGAAAAGCAGGTCCATTACAATACAGACTCACTATTCATGTGTGTCACTGGACCTGTTATTAGTTACCCCATGGAGAGTAAAATAATTGTGGTCTTAAAATATGAAAAAGAAAACACCACAGACAATATTTTATGTGGCATCTTGTGCTTTTTCATAGAGCAATTCATATTTTCTCTCTAGTTTTTATATTATTAAGACTTACCTTTCCCTCTTACTCTCTTTGTAGATTTCAGTTAACATATTTTAGGGCTGAAATAATGGAAAAAGTAGGGAAGCTGTACATACATATCCTGGAATAATCATTCTCTTTCATTTACCAGTCTTCTTTTCTCTCATTTTGTAATTCCAGGTATTTGAGAAGTACTTCAATTCATGGAAAGCAGCTACTTCCTTCACTTACTAGCTGTAAGACTTTGTTTTCATCTTTGAGTTTCAAATTCTTCATCCGTAAAATCTTGGTGATAAAACAATGCAGTTACTGCAAGGATTATATAAATGGTTGTTTAAATTTCTGTCATTTTATCAGTGTTCAAAACATTTTCTTTTTTTCAGGTATGTAAATCCTCCATATTACCTGCTGTTTTACCATGAACATTTTCCCTTTCAATTAAAGCAACATATTTCCACTTTACATATGTGCAATAAGAACAGTTTCATGGTTAAGTACGTTGGAGAAGTGTTTGTATGCATTCCACCCTCTCCTGGTGGTTTATGCCTAAAAAGGACCTGAGAAATTTCAGAAAAGAAACTTACTTAACCTTGTTCATCAATTTTTCCAAGGTTATGTCACCATGGAACCCCCCATTCTTTTACTTTCCACATGGAATGGTGATGAACATGTCACAGGACAAGGTGAAAAAGCAGGAGCACCACCATCTTGGACAAGCACTGCCATTTTAAAGTTCACCTTGAACAAAAACTGCCTAAATCCAAAGGGCATCAGGCTAAGGCCAGCATGACCGTAAACCACAAATGACATCTCTGACCAGAAACATTCCAGACCCCTCCCCAACCAGAGACATGTCAGCCCCAAGGTAACCTCCCCTCTGACCAGAGACAGTCCAACCCTGCAATAGAATTCTCCCCTGTACAGAAACATTCCAAGTCTGTGATAAGTTTTCTTACCCTAAAACCAATAAATACTCTTAGTCTGTAAGAGAGAATGCCAGAAATCAACCAGAAGCCCCTCTCATATTTATTCTCTAAAATAAACTTGTTTTTGACTGTTGAGCCACTTTTTGTGTTTCTTTCTTCTTTCTTTAACTCTTACACAGGGACACAGTTTGAGGATTACTGAGTAAAGGTAACTGGAATCTGGAATGCTTGGGGACCACCACTGGACTAAGTCAAATGAAGAAGTTAGAGAATCAAATCAAGTTTAACCTACTCTCCTAAAGGCAAGGAAGCCCAAAGTAAAAGGTTTGTGTTTAGCTATTGTTGATGAAAAGAGCAAACTCTGTAAAATATTTGAAGAGATTTATTCTGAGCCAAATATGAGTGACCAATGGTTTGTGACACAGCCCTTGGGAGATCCCGAGAACATGTGGCTATAGCGGTTGGGGCACAGCCTAGTTTTATAAATTTTAGTGAAACATAAGACATCAATCAAATACATGTAAGATGTACATTGATTTGATCTAGAAGGGTGGGACCACTGGAAGTGGGTGGGATGGGGAGGTTTCAATTCATAGGTAGATTTAAAAATTTTCTGAATGGCAATTGGTTGAAAGAGTTATTATCAATAGAAAGGAATGTCTGGGTTATAATAAGGGATTATGGAGACCAAGGTTTTATCATTCAGATGAATCCTCTGGTTAGCAGGCTTCAGAGATAATAGATTATAATTGTTTCTTATCAGACTTAAGACCTGTGTTGATTTAATGTCTGAATTCCAAAAGGGAGGAGGGTATAGTGAGGCGTGTCCAACCCTCCCCTTCCATCATAGCCTGAACAAGTTTTTCAGTTTAACTTTGGGATGCCCTGGGCCAAGAGGAGGGGTCCATTTAGATGGTTAGGAGGTCTTAGAATTTTACTTTTTGGTTTATATTATCATACTACTTTATGTATGTTTCATAGTTACTATTCAATATCTCCTATTTTCTCTCCTTAAACCGTCAGTTTTCTTCCCTCTTCTTACTGAGAAAATGAATGAAATTAAGCCTTGTGCAGGAGCCATAAAGAGTTAAAGAAACGGCCAGGCGTGGTGGCTCAAGCCTGTAATCCCAGCACTTTGGGAGGCTGAGGCGGGTGGATCACGAGGTCAAGAGATCGAGACCATCGTGGTCAACATGGTGAAACCCCGTCTCTACTAAAAATACAAAAAACATTAGCTGGACATGGTGGCGCATGCCTGTAATCCCAGCTACTCAGGAGGTTGAGGCAGGAGAATTGCCTGAACCCAGGAGGCAGAGGTTGCGGTGAGCCAAGATCGCGCCATTGCACTCCAGCCTGGGTAGCAAGAATGAAACCCTGTCTCAAAAAAAAAAAAAAGAGATAAAGAAACCAATAACTAAATCCTTGTGTTTGCAGGATAGCAATAAGAAAAGAAATAAGTTGATAAAATGCTGAAACTCCCTCTGCTTGTGAGATTAAAAAAAAAAAAAAATGATTGCAATTGGTTAACCATAAGGCCAACTGGAGTTTGTGCAGAACAAGCTTGCTGATGTCACAGCTGGAATTCCTATCACATGTTTCATACTAAATCCTCTCAAATTGCATGAACCCATGAGTTAGCATGACGAGATAACGCACTTGCCCAAGGATTTTCCAGACTTCCCCGTTTTTTTATACCAAATCACCCACTAATCCCAGAATCCATCCCCTAAATCTTTTCTAATAAAAATACTACCATGAAGCCAGCACAAGGAGACAGATTTGAGCTTGACTCCTGTCTCTTTGTGAGTTAACTTGCAATGTAAAGCCTTTCTTTTGTTTTCTTCTAGCACATCAGGCAGGGACCATTTTACTTGATAAGAATACATAAGTAGTGTGTTGCTTTTGGTTCTACATCGATTCTGTGATAAATTATGTGTAATGTACCTTATCCCTAGAGCTGTCCTATGTGGGTAAATTGTGTGTGTTTCTAGTGCTCTTTGGACAATTTTTTTTTTTCTTTTTTTGAGACAGCATCTTGCTCCGTCATTCAGTCTAGAGTGCAGTGGCACAATCATAGATCACTATAACCTCCAACTCCTGGGCTCAGGCAATCTTCTTGCCTTGGCTTCCCAAGTAGCTAGGACTACAGGCACATGTCACCACCCCACCTAATTAAATTTTTTTTTCTAGAGACACGGTCTTGTTATGTTGCCCAGTCTAGTCTTAGACTCTTGGTCTCAAGCGATCCCCCTGCCTTGGCCTCCCAAAGCACTGAGGTTACAAGCCTGAGCCACCATGCCTGGCCCAGATTATCTTTTAAACTTTATTTGCTATGTATATCCGTAGTGGAGATATTGTATGTGGAAGATTGAAAGCAGGATTTGGCAGTTGAAATAACTGGTTTTACATAAAACTGTGGGAGAATAAGATTGTTCTCTTGAGGATCATTCCTAAAGGAACAAATGTGTCATTTTGTAGAATAATTTTTCCCAAATACTTATAAACAGCATCTGGGAGTGCTGAATTGTGATAAAGGAACTGTTCAAGTTAGAAATTTTTCTTCTTCTCTTTGGGCTATTATAAATTATACATAAAAAAACATACATGATATATATTGACAATAAGTAGCAGGAGCTGTAATCCAGGTTTTGCATACATTATCTTATTTATTCCTCACGAGTCTAATGCGATAGGTTAATCACTACTTTACACACGAGGCTGTGGATCTCTGAGAGGTTAAATAAATTGCCCAAGAACACACAGCCAGTAGTGACTCTGCTCAGATGACATGTTTGGGTTTTCTTTCTCCCAAGATTGTGCTCTTCCCCCTCTACTAACTTGTTTCTGATAGAGTCACTTTTCCCACATTTGCTGTCTAGCTTGGTCTAGATAGAAAACATTTTTTTCTACTGCCATAATTCTTGCCATGGCTGTTATGGAGTTCATTTGTCCTCATAACTGAAGAGGGCTAAGGGAGCAAGAGGTTTTGAATTTCAATGGTAACTCTTGACTATCTGAGGATCTCTTGAGATTCTGTTTCCTGGGCTTTGAAAGAGCTTCCCTTTTCATCTCTTAACAATGTTGACAAATTAAAACCTGTTTTATCTGCTTCATGTGAACCAATTCAAGCTTCACCTTCTAGTGCCTCCTGAGTTGACTGGTACTTTCAATGGGAAAAACAATATTAGCTAGCTTATGGTAGCAACTCTACCCTGACAAAACCTTATGAAATTGAAATCTTATTGTAAGCCTCATGAGGCCTTTACAAAACTCCAGAATAAGGCCTCATTGGAGGATATCCTGGGTTTAGCAATTAGTTTTGGCAACAGAGTATACTCTAGGGCACAGTAATCATATAGAAAATTAAATAGGACTTTTTAGCTTTTTAAATGTTTTGCTGTATTCCTTTGTTTTAATGAAATATTTTATATTAGCTAAAATGTAATCTGCAAGATCAATGATGTTGTTTAGAGAAAAGTAAAACTTTAGGTAACAGAGGCATCTTAACCATTGAAAGGAATCTGACTAAAACTAGAGAGTTAAAAATAATAAATATTTTGAAATATACTTGTTCATAAACATGTAAGAGAGCAAACAGGATACATTTAACCCCAAAATCACCTAAGATATTATAATTTACCTTTCACATTTCATAATTGAACCAATACATATATATGAGAATAATTATGTTTTCATCATGTAAGTGTAAAAAATGTTTTTATTAATTATGATTTTGTGGGTTAGCTTGAAGTGCTATACTTATCAGTAGTAGCTTAAAACTAATAAATTGTAGTATCATTTGAAGATATACCAATTTTTTGTACCTCTTACCACTTTTTACCTTGTATCTTAAAACATTTAAAATACATTATTTGATATGAATCTAGAACAATGTATATTGCAATATAAGGTGCAGAATACCATTTACACCTTATATTATAGTGAATTTTCTCTCATGATGCTTCTCCCATTTTTTTCTGTGCTAAGTGTTTCATTTCTTTATTCTGTATTTTTAATTGACACATAATAATTTTAAGCCAAGTTTTATATTATGTGCATTTTTTTCTGGAAAAGTTTTTGATAGTAAGATATCAAAACTAAATCATTAGAAGAAAGATAGAGTATAAAAAACTTTAAAAAGCAATAACAAAGTTAGCCTTCTTTTATCACTCTTATGAGCCACTTTTTATTATAAAATTTTTATTATGTATCTGTTTTCTAAGTCATCTTGTAGAAGGTGAAAATCTATGGAGTCCATCTCTTAGTCATCTTTTTTCCTGTGTTCTAACTTAATTCTATCAAAAAACTTGCATAATTTCTTTCATTTTTTCATGACAAAGAAACTGAAGGAGGAGGGACTTTCTAAAAAGATGGTGGTTGTAATTATCAAATGCCAGAGAAGACAAAAATTAAAAAATATTTTGGGGGCTTTGACATTTAGGAGAATAGATAATTTTGCTTTTTATTTGCTGTGGGTCTTCTGCCTTTCAGTTATCAAGTAAATACTGGAATGCTTGTATCAATATCTTTTCCTTTGAGTTTCTCAGTCCCAAATTGACTATATAAAAATTTAATTGTTGATGTTTGAGGAGGCCAATACTTCTCTGTCTTTCTTGTCTTCAGAAATAATTGAGAAATAAGTACAAGAGTCAGATCTATAGAAAATACCATATTATTTTCATAATTGATAAGTCTTAGATTAGAGGATACGGCACAGTGGTACAGCCCCAGTGGGGGCTCTCTTATAATTTACTCTTGAATGAGACTAACTTATCTATCCAACCACAGTTCCCTGCCTCAGGGGCAGGCAGCTTTCTCCATGGCACAGAGCACTCCAGAGTGACACTACCCTGCCTGAGGGGCATGATGAGCTTCAGGGCACACTACCTCCAAAATATGGCACCATGGCATATTGAATATTTTAAGCTAAAGATATTTGAGAGATAGCATATACCAGAAGGATTTGCTTCCCTTCCCCTGAAGCAGGTCATGATACCCTCATGTCAGAGATTACCTCCCTATGCCCAGAAAAAAGGAGCCCTTTTATCTCTGAAGGGGCAGGACCCCAGCAAATAGCGGGCCTTGTTAAATCTCCCTCAGTTTATTACTATAAGATCACACTCCTTTGCTCTATCACATTTCTCCAGACACCCCCATTTTTTTTTTTTTTTTTTGGAGACAGAGTCTTGCTTTGTCACTAGGTGCCAGGCTGGAGTGCAGTGGCACAATCTCAGCTCACTACAATTTCCACCTTTTGGGTTCAAGCAATTCTCCTGTGTCAGCCTCCTGTGTAGCTGGGACTATGGGCGTGCACCCACGCCCAGCTAATTTTTGTATTTTTTAGTAGAGCTGGGCTTTCACCATGTTGACCAGGATGATCTCAATCTCTTGACCTCATGATCCACCTGCCTTGGCCTCCCAGAGTGCTGGGATTACAGGCGTGAGCCACTACACCCGGCCCAGACTCTCCACTTTTAATCAAACTTACTATAAAACACACTCAGGTTTTACCATTTCCCTGGGTCTTTATTTCCTTATAGAGGTTCCCATAAAGCTTATGTTAAATACATTTGTATGCTTTTCTCTTGTTAATCCATCATTTGTTATAGGTGTCTTAGTTGTGAACCTAAGATAGGATATTTTTCCTCCCCTACAGAAGGTATGTGCAAAACAGACAGATCCCAGAGGGGTGAGCCCACCAGTTCACAATCCTCTTCTCTTCAGAGAGGATGTGACTCAAGGGTGTGGGGAACAGCCAAAAGAACCATCACCACCTGGAAACACGAAACCAGAGGTATGTCTTTATCCTAATATAACTGAATGTTATGCAACTCTAAAAAATCATGTATCTGCTGAAGGTGAGAAACTTAATCTGACAAATCCCAAGTGACGTAGTCAATTCTAGCTCAAAATGTAGTTTCTGAGCCCAATGCCTCTCCATCTCTACTCATGCTCCATTTCTTTTCCCTACTTCTGCTTGAGGTCATCTAATATCTGTGGAGCCTTGTGTACTTTTGTGTTATCAGTGGAAGGCCATCTGCCATGAGCTCCTGCTGGATCTAACTGAGGAGCGGTGAAAACTGTCAGAAAAAATTGTCCAAGACTTGCAAGTAGGTAAAAGAGATTCCTGGGTGTTCTTTCAGCAGAGTAGGCGCATTATCTTTGTCATGATGTATAATTCTATTTGACTTTCTACTGAGTAGTCTATTTTACAACTACTCTGAAAAGGTAACTTGCAGGCAACTGAAAGTAATGCAAGTGATTGCTATCCATAACAACATAAATGAATTTTGTCTGATAGAAACGTAATTGATTTCTGCCCAGTAGAAAAGGTAACTCTAAATATTATGTTTTATGAACCAATAGAATAATAATAATCAATCTTACATCGTTTAGCAAAATCATTTCAGCATTCTTGACTGCCTATGTGTTACTCATCTTCAAATTCTCCCCTGAACAGGTCTTAACATCTCATTGGTTCCATCCTTAAATAATATGCTGAATAAAAAACTAGCATGTGTTCATTTTACATTTGCAGGCGAGTCATGACTTCACATTTTAAAAATTTATACATAACAGCCCTGTGTGGTCTCAGGGGTCTGCCTGAGACCTTTCTATCTTTGCCACATGCCATGCCGAGGTCCATAGCTATTCTAGCTGGTGGTAGCTAGTCCCCTGTTCTATCACAGGTGAGGCATGATACTAGCTCTGGGGTTGGGATAAGGGAGGAACACGCAGTATTTTCCCTTGTTATTGTTCCTCTCTTCTCTTACTGGCATTTTTCATCCACTTAGACTTATTCAGATCCACCATCT